CGACAGCCTGCCTCTGACAGCTGGGCGGAGCCAGCCGTCGTCTCACGGCTGGCTCCGCCCACTTGCAGAGAGATCAGCGTCCCTGGTTACCAGGTAACCAGGGACACCATCTGCCATTACACACCGAAAAAACTACGGGGCTGCTATGATATCACAACGGCCTCTCCGAGTTCTCAGTGTGTAATGTCAGATGGCGTCCCTGGTTACCTGGTAACCAGGGATGCTATATGTCATTACTCTCGCAGACGCTCTGGGAGTCTAATACGGCTCCCGGCCGCCCAGGAGAGAAACATTTTCTCCCAGAAAGGTTTACTCTGCTTGATCGAGCGGAGTAAACCTTTCCTTGCAATCTTTTTTTTCCCCTGACATGTGGCCGCTGGCCACCTTCAGTCAGGAAAAAAAGAAAAGCCAGCATAGGAATGCATAGCTAGATTCCTATTGGCTATTTCACTTTGCAATAGCCAATAGCAAACTAGCTATTTCACCCACCCACTGCTGCTGTCAATAAGCAGAGGGGGACCTGCAGTTCTCCATCAGCTCCTCTTCTAGTGATTGAGAGCAGCAGAGGGCAGGTGCAATAGCTAGTTTGCTATTGGCTATTATAAAGTGAAATAGCCAATAGGAATCTAGCTATGCATTCCTATGGTTTTTTTTATTTTTTATTATTGTGACATGCTGAGCATGTTCGGCTGACCCGAAGCCACGCTAAGCCACCCGATGTATGGCTGATTTTAGTCGGTGTACGGCTGAAATCAGCCATACAAGCATGAAGTGAATACCCAAACAGCGTTCGGCTCACTTCACTTTGGGTCGGTTATTCACTAGGCTGCTTATGGCAGCTTTGTGAATAGACCACAATGTTATCTCTGTTCTGTCTGGGAGATTTTCCTTCACTATCTTTGAAGGATTTCCTGTTCCAGATGACAACGGTCACCAAGATAAATAAAAATGGTGAATCTACACAGTGATGGATACCAATAAAAACTGACAGGGGTTCAAACCCTTCCCAACTCTCTCCAAAATTGGCTTTATTCACACACACACACACACACACACACACACACACACACACACACACACACCTAAAATTGAATATATATTTAAATTGCAAGACATGTTATTAAGAACATGCATTCTCTCTAGTTCTACCTAATCAAATCATTCTAATTTGGTATGCTGTTGTAATATTGTTGATAAAGAGTATTAAAAAGCCTAGTCCCCAGTTCATTTATTCTCACAGTGGGGAATATGACTACATTAAAGACATTTAGACTAGTCCCCTGAAACCATCCATTGATGAACATACTAATTGCAGTTTAAGATCCATATTTACATTTGCTGATTAACTGATCACTATTTTACGAAAAGAATCTGAAATTATGACCATACCTATGATGTTGGGAGTTATGTTTTTTTTCTCGCTATGATTTTTCTTACTAAGACCATTTAATTGAAAAAATTACTAGTCTGTTCATAATTCATATTAATACCCTCACATCCAGTCCTCCTCAACTTTTTATTACCTTTAGCTCTCCACTTCTTCCCCCACTACCTCCACTCACTAACTCACTCACTCTCCAATTTGTAATGAGATCTCCGCTGTGCAGACATTTCCCTCACCTAGCATACCAGATCAAATGCCATATTGTATACTTTCTATACTTTACACTTTTGACCCTGTTGACACAATGATGGTTGCTAAACTTTTTGTTGACTCCTGCCTAATACTTGCCCCCTGGACCCTGTTCCTTCAAAACTACTACAATCCCACTCTTGCTCTATCTTACACTCTCTAACCCACATCTTCAATCTCTCCCTCTCCACTGGTATCTTCCCATCCCCTCTAAAACATGCACTAGTCAGCTCAATACTGGTCCCTACCAGCTTGAACAACCTAAGACCCATCTTCCTGCTCCTATTTACCTTCAAACTCCTCAAGCATCTTGTCTACAATCGTCTGAGCTGCCACCTCACTGGTAGCAACTTTCTTGACCCCCTACAGTCTGGCTTTTGCTCTCAAAACACTCTACTGAAACTGCCCTCCTTTAACTCACTAACAACTTAATAACTGCTAAAAACAATGGTCACTACTGTATATTCATACTCTTAGACCTTTCTGATGACTTTGATATTGACCACCCACTCCTCCTCAAAAAATTCTACTCGCTTGGCTCTTTGGGTGTCAAAATTGGATGGGGAAATATTGACTCCTCTGAGGTCATGAGAAGCAATAAAGATCTGGCAGCAGATCAGACTGCTCTTCCCTTCACACAAACGTTGCTCTTGACTCTGCTCTTTCCTGCTTTTCTTCCCATCTCAGTGCACCTTCACTGTCACCTACAACTCTACCTCCTCCTCTCCCTCTCTGTAGGAGTCCCCCAAGGCTCTGTTCCCGGACCCTTTTTATTCTCTATCTACACATCCTTGGGTCAGGTGATAAGCTGCCATAGCTTCCAATACCATCTCTATGTCAATGACACTCAAATGTATCTCCCTACTCTTCAACTCATCTACTCACTCTCATCACACATCAGTAATTTACTAACTGACTTATCAGTGTGGATGTTGTATCACTTCTCTAAACTAAGTTCAGCCCCCCCCCCCCATGTCCCCTACCCTGACTTCTCTATTGAGATTGATAACACACTTATCAGTCCCTCCACAAATGCTAGGGTGTTAGGTGTATTCCTGGACTCTGACCTCTCCTTCAGACCCCCCATCCAATGATTGACCAAATCTGGAAACTCTTTGAACAAATGGTGCTTGCAACCAATCAGCTGCAAGCACGGTTCATGTATTTTGACAGCGGCCGCCAACCACTATAATATAAAGGAAACAGCAGGTGATTCTTCCATCCATGCTTGTAAGCATTGATGGAGAAATCTGTCCTATTTTTTCATTATGTCCATGGGTCAAACGACATGAGATGACTGTTATGACATCCGAGGGGCTGTTAAAACACCCAGCCTTCCTGAAAATGGATGCACTGGATCACTGGAATTAATTTTTCTGTCATGTGTTAAATGCAGGTGGGCATAGTTTGCAGGAAAAAAGAAGAAGGGCAATGAAAGTACCATGGTACCAGTGCCTGAGTGGTAGGGAGCCAAAGCTAAGGCTGATCCTTCGGCTAGCTTTGTGAATAACCCCCTCAGTCTTGAATAAAAGATCATTCTTTATGATCAGTCTTTTGTCACTAGTGAGAATGTGAAGTGGTTCTGAACATTATGGTTAGAACTAGAAAATATAATTTTTTTACTTTTTTAGTCTGATAAATATGAAATATTGTTTAAAAAATGATGTGGTCTTTTCTTCAGCTAGATTTTCTTTAGCCTCCTGAGCCACTTTGTTGCAGAAAGCCTGTTATTTGCAAAGCTCAATAGGTCAAGCTGAAATTTACATACACAGTTTAAATAATCTCTTATATCATTAGATGTTTTAATAAGGCAGAGCAAGCCTGAAGGCAGGGGGCTTCTACTATGTTATCTCCTTTAAATAATCCATTGTGGTCTAGGAAATATTCTTCACATATTAAAAGAAATTTTTAAAACAAAGAATGTATATAGCTGAAAAATACAGCTACAAAACATCCGTTTAAAAACTTAATGAACTAAAAAAAATACTTAGAACCATTATAGGTTCACTTTAAGGTAGATACTTAAAAATGGAAATACCATGACAACACTACTATTCTACTTTTGTTTCAGCTAAATTTCTCTAATGTATTATTTCTGTCTGTCACAACAGAGTAGATGGTGTACAGGGGAGCACAGAAAGGCGAGACCACCCAGTGAGGTGCTGAAATATAATGTTTTCTCACAGAATTACTACATTCTCCCAAATCTTCTGCTTCTTTACACAAAAGCTCCCCCGAGGCACTTTATTTGCCAGCTTTACAGTCATTTATAAATAGACACACCGCTGTGTTTAAAAGTTTGAAAATGCACATTTTAAACACTTTTTATTGATTGCATTAGAATGGCAAAGCGTGTTGCTCACCTTGATAAATGATGTGAAATCCCTGCTTGTTCTGTGAATAATCACTATGGAAATACAGGCTAGTCTCATGGGTTGTGCTGAACAGGGAAGCAGGGACCTGAGGGCCGCTTAACCTGCCAATTACTGAGCCAATGTCTGCAGAGCCGCTTCGTACTTCCAGGTAATCGTGTATTGTTTCGGTAGAGAAATTGACAAAGTGCAGATGCACACCTGATAAGATAAATCACATACGCTGCATTACTTAACGATATGTTTAATTAAAACAACAGCTGCAAAGAACATTTGAAACTCTTTACTGCACTTCTGCTGTTTGTAAGCATGGTGGACCTTTTGATTGATGATATGTGGATTTACCTTAAAAAGGAATACATTTTAATATATGTTTTATTATGCTCATCCCATAATATAAATTATTACATAAACAAACATTATATTTCCTTTTAATCAGGTAGATGCTAGCATTTAGGGATGAGCAAATTTGTCTGGGTTCCATTCTCAAACAATTTCAACAAGTTCACAATTTTTGCAGTGAACCCCACTCCTCGGTGGGGAATGAATCTTATTCAAAGTTATTCAAAGTTGGCCATTTCTAAGGCTAATTAGCAAGTTATTGTAAAAAAATAACAATAAAAATAAAGGTATGGGAAGCTGGGCACTGCCATTAGGTACAATGGCAAAATTAAAAAAACAAATACTGTATAACACAGTATCTCTCCCTATACAGACTTTTCTAGCTCTCCTGAACAACTCCATCACAAACTGACAATATGGATGCTGTGAGCCCACCCTTTTAAAATGTGGTGGCTGGGTTATCCAATGCTTCAGATCATTGGCTCAGCTGTTAGGCCCAAAGCCTATGCACTGCATTATAGGATTTTTGGCAACAAACCTGCAAATTTTTAGCCAAACATTCGCAATTTGCAAGCCCCAGGGATGCACTACAAACCCATGTAGTGGCAAACCAGAACCTCATCCCTATTAGCTCCCTAAATTTCTTTGTACTCCAGTTGAAAGATCCACCTAACTCTCATGGCTATAACAAACCAAAATTAATTTTTCCAAATAAGGCCTGTTGAATCACCCATAATGTAGAATAAGCAGTAGTTGATTCCATCGGTGAGAATTTGACATCTTGATTATGTCTTGTGAGAGGAGGCAGAGATACAAGGTACTGAAAGGAAATCTTTCCCTGGTTTCTTTAACAAGCTAAATCACTGATATTCATATACAATTCTATTATTTATGGGTATTGTTGGCTTTTAATACAATCATGCTTTTTATAACATTGAAGCCTGCTTTTTTAGGGTTTTTAAACAAGGCGAAGCTGAGTCTATGCAAATTACCAGTATGTAGCATGCTACGTATAGCAAATACCTACCAAAACCAATGGGAAGTTTGATTGTCCATGTGCAATCTAGGCTACTAGGGTAGTTTCCAGGAAAACCGGGACTGAGTATCACTCCACTGAAATCAGACATAGCGCCACCACATTGTGCTGGAAGAGATCAATGTATTGTCAACATTCTCAAGAAAATAAGGTCAAAACATGGCTATATGGAGAGATTGTGTTGCCTTTGGGCTTGTTAGACTTTCAGTGGGCCATCCTGGACTTTCTCAGGCTCTGCAGAATCTTTCCAGAAACAAACAATGGACTGTGTTTGAACAATAAATGGAGCAGGCCTTCGGATACAGCAGTGGTAAGACCAGAACAAATATTGGTGTGCACAAGGAAACATTCACTTTTTTGGCAGCCACTGTCCACACTTGAGTTCACACAGGCTGTATTTGAAAAAAAAAGGTATTTCAGCTTTTGGCTACAAAAGAAGCCTGCTGTTCATCCCGTATCAGTTGGTCTATATGAGTTGTCAATCAGACAAACAGTGCCACAAATGAATCATCCGCTGTACTGATTTGCCAGACCCAAATTGCTCTTCCTTTCTCATGTTTTATATGTTTAATTGTAAAAAATTATTTTATGTGAGTTTAAAAAATATAAAACTGTTGATAAAAGTATAAAAACAAAAATAAAACTAAAGTAATATTTACTTAAAACCATTAAAGTTTCCCTTTAAACCTCAACTAGCTGCTGATGGAAACCAGGACAGTGAGTCGTGTCTAAAAGATCCAGCTCACTGCTCATCTTAATGAGACCTTGGGCACGCTAAAATGATGACATCCTTTTATACAGGATCTAGTCTTTTCATTCATTAGGAGCTCAATGTGCTATTTCGACTAGGAGACAATAGAAACTCTTATCACTTAAACTCCTGCATGAAGTTTGAGTAAAAGAATATGCCAATGCAGCATCATATAGGAGATATATATAGAAATAAAGATAGATAGATAGATAGATAGATAGATAGATAGATAGAATATATCAGCAAGTATGTTCTTACCAATGCAAATAGGAATGGGATAATTCCACCTCCGTACAGGGCCAGGCATACACGTGATATGAGAATGACCCTAAAGTAAGAAATAATAGATGTATAATACTCTTATTATTTAAGTTGAGCTGTTAAGAATGGTACTGTTGTTACTGCTGAACTAAAAGGCTATTATAAAGCTATTCATTACACTGCCATCTCTATCAGCTGTAGATAATAGTGCTATGAGTGGATGAAACATGTCATTACCTGAAGAGAATAGCCTTGATCACACTGGAATGATACCACATCTCCAACCATGTACCTGTCACCAACTTTTATTCCATTGCTGGGCATTTGTGGCTCTGGACATGAATCAAGACCTATTGCTGGAGT